ATAATTTGGAGGCTACTTAAAAAGCTAACATCGACCATTTGATCCAGCAATACCACTCTTGGGGATATACCCAAAAGACTGTGACACAGGTTACTCCAGAGGCACCTGCACACCCATGTTTATTGCAGCACTATTCACAATAGCCAAGTTATGGAAACAGCCAAGATGCCCCACCACTGACTAATGGATTAAGAAAATGTAGTATCTATACACAATGGAATTTTATGCAGCCATGAAGAAGAACGAAATGTTATCATTCGCTGGTAAATGGATGGAATTGGAGAACATCATTCTGAGTGAGGTTAGCCTGGCCAAAAGACCAAAAATCGTATGTTCTCCCTCATATGTGGACATTAGATCAAGGGCAAACACAACAAGGGGATTGGACTTGAGCACATGATAAAAGCGAGAGCACACAAGGGAGTGAGGATAGGTAAGACACCTAAAAAACTAGCTAGCATTTGTTGCCCAACGCAGAGAAACTAAAGCAGATACCTTAAAAGCAACTGAGGCCAATAAGAGAAGGGGACCAGGAACTAGAGAGAAGGTTAGATCAAAAAGAATTAACCTAGAAGGTAACACACATGAACAGGAAATTAATGTGAGTGAACTCCCTGTATAGCTATCCTTATCTCAACCAGCAAAAACCCTTGTTCCTTCCTATTATTGCTTATACTCTCTCTACAACAAAATTAGAGATAAGGGCAAAATAGTTTTTGCTGGGTATTGAGGGGGGGAGAGGAGGGGGTGGAGGGTGGTAAGGGAGGGGGTGGGGGCAGGGGGGAAAATGACCAAGCCTTGTATGCACATATGAATAATAAATAAAAAAATAAAATTTTATGTATACAGATATGAATCTATTCCACTATGGCCAAGCAGATGGGATGAGATGATTGACACAAGCCAAACTGGGAACACTTGTGAAGTTGGGAGTGGGGCCAAATCATGTAGCTTTGCTGAGAAAGGACTTCCTAGAGAATATTTGGGTTACTGTTTCCAGGAAGATCGGGAACATATGCTGGGAGCCAAGTAAGAGCTGACCATTAGAGAAAGAGTCCTAACTGAAAGCCACAAAGACAGATGCACAGGATTGCTGACACTAATTTGGGACTGAGTTGCTTGTAAGACAGGCAACTCTGTTGCTGGCTCCAGCTTACAACACGGTAGGAACTTAATTATTCATTCTGGTAAGAAATTATGGGCAAGTCAGCTACTTATCAATATGCTATTTTTATACTTCCTCACTTTCTAACCCTATTCTTTAATTTTGAAGGCAAAAATTTCTATAATTAATTCCTGATTTTAACATATTGCTGATTGCAACTTATCAGAAAAATATTTTAATTTCCACATTTTATATTTCTCAAAAATGTAGGAATTGAGTACTAATTTTATTCTTCTAATATTTAAGATATTTGGAAAATTTCATTAAAAATCGGGTCTTCCATGTCACAATTCCTTCATCACAGACTATGGAGTCTGTGATGTGGGCTCAGGGCTTCCAAATGCCTGTCTATAGGTCTCTGGTAAGAAAGAAAAAAAAAAGTTAAGAATTCTCTTGGCAGGGGCCATCCATTTTCACACCCAATTTACTAATGCATCTGGAATATCTACCTCTTGCCATGCTTTGGAAATTCCCCTTTTGTTACTTCTAAGTCTTGCTACTTTACTTATAAACATTTCAATCACTGAGTGAGAGTTCCTAGGGTTGATCATCTTCCAAGATGCTCCTCTGTAGGTTCAAATGATTCCATTTCATTCATGGTTTCATCTCCATGGACTCTTATTCCTATGCACTTTCTTTCCCAATTTAAAATACTGACCTCATCCAGGAGATTCACATCATTATGACTTTGGAGCTTATGAAAATTTAGGGTTTTGACAATGAAAAATATAGGAAAACAAAGTGTTTTGCAACCCTGGTCCAAGCTTCAACCTTATTTCAACTGTTGCCTGCATAACATGTCCACTGGCATTTGCCAACCCCTCATTGGCAGCTCTTTCTATCCCTTGTTGGCACTTCCTGCCATCCAACTCCCTAAATACTGAACTGGTATCCCAGAGCACTCCATCCTGGGGCCTTGTATCTTGTCACATTCTCTCTGAAACAGCACTGTCTAAAACTTTCTGCAATGATAAAAATGTTTTATATGTACACTGCATAATAAGGTGCCTAACTGCCACACAGGATGTGCTTGAAAGGTGGTTCCTTAGATGACTAAGGAACTATTTTTAAATTTCAATTTTAATTTTTATAGCCACATGTGGCTAGTGGCTACTGTACTGGACAGTTCAGCACTAGAAGATTCAGTTCATTTCTTCCCATACTTTAAGGGATTTCGTTCATTTCTTCCCATGGCTTTAGATGTCTTCTGCTAAAATGATGCCTCTCAAATGTACAGCTTCAGTCATGGTCAATCTGGAGCACCAGCCCATAAGATACAATTGCCAACTTGAATTTTTCACTTGCACATCTCATACATATCTCAAATGTATTAATCCAAAATAAGAGCCCTTGATTTCTTTCTCCCTTCCCAAGCATATTCCCTTTCCAGTGTCATTCATTTCAGTCACTAGCACCTGTTCACTTGAAACCAGAAAGCTATCCCTGATTCCTCTTAGTCCATTACTTATTGTATCCAACCCATCAGCACATCACTGGTTTTATTTATTTCCAAAACATATCTTAAATCCACATACGTCCCACCATCTCCTTTATCAATAAGACTGCCATCCTCTCCAAACTGGACTGATGCCAGCTCTTGTCCTTTTACAGTCAGTAGTCATCTTAAATCATGACTCAAAACATGCCACTCCTCCACTGAATACCCTTCAATGGCTTCTTTTCACTCCAGAAGAAATGAATGGTCTGGCCTTCCCATTTCTCCAAACTCAACTTAGTCATCATGCTTTTGATTTCTTTTCTTTAGTGGTGGGGTGGGGGTTGAACCTTAAGTCTTACACATGTGAAGCACATGGTCTAACACTGAGCTACAGGTCCACCCCCTCTTTTGGTTTCTTGAATATAACAAGCTCTTTATAGATCAGGGTGTCCACATAGTTGCTCCCTCTGCATGCTGTTCTTCCTGTTCTTGACATAAGTGGCCTTTTCTCATACTTCCAGTCTTAGCTTTAATGTTACCTCCAGTCTTGGCTTTAATGATAGGCCTTCCCTGGCCATCTATATTTAAAGTGAGTCCCTTCTCCATCACTCTTTCTCAGTACTCTGTTCATTCCTTTCATAGCACGTAGAAATTTTCACTGACTTTAATTTTTTGGGCTTGGTCTGACTATACTGTTTACATAGCACCCGGGAGTATGCTTCACACACAAGTTAGTACTCAGTAACATTTTCTTAGAAAACAACTTCCCACAACACCTATACACATTAGTCATTTCATTTCTTTGTTCCATGTGGACACAATTTTTACTGCTCATTAGATGTTATCATAGGTGGACCATACTAGATTATCCTTATTACATGACCTTAGGTTTTAGTAATCTAGGACTTAGCTTATAATTTCCAGGAAGCAGAAGTTTGTTTCAAATAGGCCCATGATTTCTACTCCTTGCACCTTAGTCAACAATTATATTAACTGGTTGAAAGCTTATAAAGTGCAATAACTAAACTGCAGTGAAGCAAGCTGCACTATTTCAAAATAATGGTTCTAAAAGTGAAGAGTCTGGATGTTTTGATTCTTTTTTGACCAGTATTCTTCTTCATTGAATAAGGCCTTTAATCTATTAGAGAGTGGTTATTACCACTCTCTAACAGCCTCTGTCTTCATAGTATTAACAGCTTGGCTCCTTCTCCCAAAATAGTTTTATAAACTCATAATTTCAAGTAGAGGTAATTTTGGATTTCCCTACTTTCCTGCATAGAATACATGTGTTCCTAGCATTTGTTTTCTCTGATCTTGGACCTAGGGTGAGCATGACTCTGATGCCAAGATTCTAGGTTTTACAGGGGCTTTTCAACTGCTGACTGGATGAGGATATGTAGTAGTGCCTTAGCCATTACCAGAAAGAAACCATTTCTCCTGCCCTTGATGATGGCCTCACAGTTTATTTTAGAATGAGAACTGTCATGGCGGTGAGTGAGGGACAGGCTGGGAGATTTAGAATTATAGTACAATTAGGTGTTACAACTGTATACTATTTTATGAAAAAAACCCTTCAACTGTGTTTACATTTTCCCAATCTCAGAGTGCTGTCTCCTTACACAAGGGCAATCAGGTCTCCCAAGATTGTACAACTTGAACTACCCAGTTCTACTTTTTTTCCTCTAAGTTACCTAGGGCTCTTCGGGGAGGACCACAGTCTCTAAGGAAAGGTCATATAGTTGGCAATGGAACTGCAATGCCACCTATACAGAATAAGGTTTTCTGAGAGGCAGACTTATGAAAAGCATTATTAGTATTTGTATACAGAGAAAGAGTATCTCCAGAATGATACACAACAGGTAACAGTAATTGCCTCTCTGTTACTTCTTTGAGAACTGGAAGATAGGAGTGACAAAGAAATTTACTTTTCCCTAAACATCCTTTGGAACTATTCAATTTTTTATCATGAACATACTCAAAAAAGCTTCACAATTGAAAAACATAAAAGAAATGCAGTATTGGTCCTCAAAAAGCCAATTAGCTAGAGTCAAAACACAGAGACATGGACCATTAGAAAATCATAAGACAGCACAAAATTAAGTACTCATGTGAGTGATATTCATTATAAGTTGAAGAACATAAGTAGTTGAAGAAGCTGGGTCTTAGGTGAACAGAAAGTAAAAATGGATAGAGGAATAAATGTGCACAACTAAAATAAAGAACAGTATATTTTGGAGTCAGAAAGGCCTGGCTCCAAACTCAACTCTGTAACTTACTATCTGTGCAAACTTTAATGAATTCTTTAACCTTTCAATCTCACATTTAACAGTTGTAAAGTGAGAAGAAAAGTACCCACCTTAACAAGATTGCAAACTAAAGAATGCATACAGAGTGGTTAGCATGGTACCTGATAGAGAGCAGTACTCAACTAAACAGTGCCCAATATAAACACAGTGATATGGGGGTCGAGTTTTGCTATAGTATGTAGTATCTGTTCATGGGAAGAGGCAAAATAATACTGGCTATTAGGGTTATGGCTCTGGAGTTCCTGTAGCCCAAGAACTATACACAACATCACCATTATGCAGTCTCTAATATTCAAGATGAGAGGTCTGATAGATAATCATCAGGTTTTCTCTCTAGCATGGCGCCTCTGGTGCTTAATCAAGACAGAATTTTGACTGAAGGCCTTTCCACATTCGTTGCATTTATAGGGTCTTTCCCCAGTATGAATTCTTTGATGTCGGATAAGGTGTGCCTTGCAAATGAAGCTTTTCCCACAGTCAGTACATTCATGAGGCTTCTCCCCAGTGTGGACTCTCTGGTGCTGAGCAAGATCAGAGTTCCACATGAAGCCTTTCCCACAGTCCTTACATTCATAAGGCTTCTCCCCAGTATGGATTCTCTGATGTCGGAGAAGGGCTGGGTTTCGTGTAAAGCTTTTCCCACACTCTTTACATGTGTATGGTTTCTCTCCAGTGTGGATTCGCTGGTGTTGTGTAAGGCTTGTGTTCTGACTAAAGCCCTTCCCACATTCCTTACATTTAAAGGGTTTCTCACCTGTGTGTATTCTCTGGTGCCGAATCAGGTTTGACTTCCAAACAAAGGCTTTAGCACATTCTTGACATTCATAGGGTTTCACCCCACTGTGAATTCTCTGATGTGCAATGCAATGTGATCTAAAACTGAAACCCTTCCCACATTCCTTACATCCGTAGACTTTGTCTCCATTATGAGTTCTCTGATGTTGATCAAAGTCTTCATTTCGACCAAAACACTTGCCACATTCTTCACATATATAAAATACTTGCTCAGTTAGAATTTTCCCAAGGTGGTTATTGACATCAGAATTCTCTGAACTCTCTTGTACTGAGATCATTTCATCCTTGACAATCACTTTTATAATATCATCTGTAGTATTTGCCATACTTTCCCCATTGGGGTAGCCAGGCCATCTCCCTAACCTGCTTTTCTCCTCTGCACAGGTTTTTCCAAACCAGAATTCCTGGGGTCCACACCACTGGGGTCCACTTGATAGCACTGTGAGGTCCTGTGCTTCCTCAAAATCTTCCTCTTTCAGAATAAAATCTTCTATCTTACTTTTTGACACACTCTCTGGAAGAAGAAATCAGAGCTGCAAATATCATCAATACCTACAATGGAGTAACTACAGTCACCAAGTGGTATTAATAAATCCATTTCTCTCCAAGTACCACCCTCATGTCTTGATAGCACTAACTGAAAATGGCAAAAACACGCTAACACATAAAAGGCAGTCAAAACTAGACAGAATACACAAAGGTTGTGATTCCTACCACTAGATAAAGTATAGGGCATGCTCTCAGAAAAAAGTCGAATCAAATCTAAGAGAGACAAGTCAGAATTCCTTCCAGGTAGAGGCCAGTTTATAACATGAGGACAGACCAGCACTCACGGCAGAGGACCACAAGTATATTTGGGGAACCTCAGTTTGTCATACACAAGGGGCAGCAATGAGAGATATTCCTCATACTTTTCAACACTAAAAGGAAGTTCAATCCAATCACCAAGCCTACCAAACTACTTCATGTAGTTGGGCAAAGACTGCCTCCTCTTTGTTCCCATAGTGCTATTCATGCCTCTGTAATAATATCATTATTTTACTGTGATTGTAGATTTATGTATAATGTCATTAGATTATGAGCCTTTCCAAGATAGAGGCCATATGTTACTTTTTAAAAAAATTCCAAGTGAAATATAGTATCTCATTAAAATATTATTGGTTGACCATAACAGCCAGATACATAGGCCATCTGTTCAGGTTAGGCCTAAAAGCTAATTTGATTAATTGAGTTTGTCATATTAAAACTTGGAATTTCTGGGCTTAAGTTTCCTCTTCATTAATTGGTTAATTTGGGGATTCTGAAGTGTCACTTATTTATAACATAAACGGCAAAATGGACTTCTAACATTTTACAAAGGATAGACAAAGGGAAATTTATAACTGGGAGAAAAATGCTCATTTCCCTCTTACTTACCAGTGAAAATTAGGCTTGGATCCTCTCCTTGCAACTTCAGGTTCAATGGGGCTTCCACCTGCTCAAGATGGGAGATTCCAACAGGCTTTATAAAGGGATAACCTGCCAGGGCAAGACACAAATAAGCAGGTTCAGTTGGAGGAGTGGAGCCTATTTGGAATGGAACAGAGACTAAAGTGGTAGGGGAGAGAATGAAGGTAGGTGGAAAGACTGGTAACACAGATGACCAGAAATTTGAGGATGATAGGACTATAATAGATAGAGGCATCAGTTCCCAAAGATATGAAAGTTACCACTCATTGTAAAATGTCAAGAAGAAAACTGGACTAGTCCTCTTCTACACCTATCTATGGGAGATGAAAACAAGTTCAGTATTACAAAAGATAGGATAGATGGAGTTGTGAAAAGCTGCTTCTGAGGACTTTTTGTCTAGAAGCTGTTCTTAAGAAATTATACGTCTCTTAGTTTCCTTTTTCTTCTTCATCTATTACTGAGTACTCATTTTACAAAGATCAGATATGGTCTCTCTGTTGACATTCATTGAATGACCTCACCAGCCTCACGTCAAACCATTTCCAGAAGTTACTTCCTAGTCTACAACAGATACTCTATTCACAAAAAGTCCACTTAATAAACTTACTTCCACTTGTCATTTGACAAGTCTATATGGAGACCAGAGTCTGTGATGTCCCCTATGAGTATGACCTCCCTGGATAAAAGTGGCTCGTCGAGTAGAGACACCATGTGCTCCAAGGAAGTCTCTGTAGGTCAGAGGGTTAGAGTTTTGCTCAAGGAATAACTTAGTATTTGGTTTCCTGACTAGAAAATTCCCTCAGGTGGGGGGCAGGAGCAAGGAGGACCCTCAGAGAATGCAGAGGACCACTGGCTCCTACTAACATCCACTCTATCCCTCCCATTTGGGCAGAACCGCCTTCACTTGAATGGGGATGGGGAGGAATGCAACTCCAAGCTTCTACAGTAGACTCTCACTGGTCCACCCCTCCTCACTGGTGGGAATTGGGTCAAGGATCAATGATTGGGCAAATCAGTCAGGCACGCATCTCCCTGACACGGTGGCTGATTTAGAGCTCGCATATGACTTCAGACAGGTCCATTAGAGCAGTTACTTTTTCACTGGGGTCATAAGCCTGAGGAAGATCTGCCCTCCTTCTTTCCATAAATATTAAGATTTAGGGCCCTTGGTTACAACTACCATTTTACCTTAACATTACAAGAGAAACCCCGGACAAGTTTGACAAAGCAAATAACAAAGTAGACAAAGGAAGACTGAAATTCTGGTCCAAGTGTATTTGAGCTCAGTGTACCACATACTTTCCAGTTACATTGAAACAATAAATTCCTCTTTATTAGGTAAACCTGTTTGATGAGTTTTTAATAGCTATAATCAGACTATCTTAAGATAAAGACTGCCAGATAAAAGCAAGGAACAGTGACACTAGGAGTGAGGGCTCTGACTTCAAGTCTGACTATGCTCACAGAAAGAGCCTTCTGGGGAGAAGATGGAATAGTGCCAGGAAGGCAACAAGGAGATACAGCTTAATTAGAAAACTAGGAGCAAGAAAGCCCTGTGTTGAGCTTCCCAAAACAATCCCAGCCTTTCCCCCATCATAATCCATGAAGAATAGGAAAACTATTCGGCTGAGGGTTTTGAGACTTCTTGATTCTTAATGATAAATGAAGGTTCATTATATCCAAAAGGGCATCAGAAGACTGGGAGCAGGCCAGGAAAATAAGTGCCTCAGATCAGAGTAGAACAGGAAAGCCAGGTCCAGTAGATTAAGCCATGGTAAAGAGAGATGGGGAAGGCAGACAGAAACAAGGGAATATGAGATGTCATACAGAGTCAGCCAGAATGAAATAAAACAGGACTCAAAAGATGGAACCATGGAATATGGAAAAGAACAGAATCCAACTAGTGTCTATAGCCACTAGGTTAAAGGACACAGGACCTACTTACATTTTTAAACATTAATACAAGGGAACTGGTCAGGTATGATTGGCAACGTGTCCTCGACTCACTGAGGAGTGCCCCTTGGCCCATTTCCATCCAGAGCTCCCTGAGGAGTGGAGCACAGGGTGCTTTCCCCTTGCTCCAGCTGGGGATCAGAGCTGGTTTTGGAAGATGGAAATCGCCGCTTGAGGGGAAAGGCCAATGGGACAGGGTCAGGTGAGTGGGGATGAACCCAGAGAAATCCCGCAGACTCCTCCCAGGCCTGTGTCTTCAGGGGGTGAAAGGGGAATCAGAAAGGAACGTAAAACAAGAAAAGGAAATCCAGGGGAATGGCAGGAGACCCCAGGTGGAAAAGTCCAGGAGGTTTTTTTTATACTTGTTTATTCTCAAAAGGTTAGGAAGTTGACAGAGTATAGTTAGAAGAAGTGCTCAGTTTGAGTCAGCAAATGGATGACTCCACTCATTGAGGAGTTGAACTTTCTTGTGTCTTCCCTTTCAGAGCAATCAATCAGGTGTCATTCAGACACCTGCATGGGGACAATTGTTCCGGACCAGATCTCCCACACTGATGGGATAAGGAACTGAAGGCTCAGTGGGGGTGAGGAGTTGGGCAGGCAAGGAAGAACTGGGTAAGGTTCGAATTGATCCCAGGACTTCCCCCTTCCCAGAAACTGCTCAGGATCTTCCAAGATCCTGAAGCTAAAACTGAGCTGAGGGTTATCAAAGACTCCTGAACCTTTAAGAAGGAGCCAGGAAACTATGAAGAGCACAGGCAGAGCCCAGGAAAGAGACCCTTACCCAGGGCAACCACTGCCCCATAATTGTCCAGCATCACATCCCTGTACAGAGCTCTCTGAGCAGGGGCCAGGACGGTCCATTCTTTTTCAGAGAAGTACACAGCCACATCCTCAAAAGTCACTGACTCCTGAAACGACATGCGTTGAAACACCTTCAGTCAATCCCAGGACTTAGGCTTGCAGTAAGGGGCACATGGATACCAAAAGGTACAGAACAGGGATGCCTGCTGGGTTTCTGGATTCTGAATAGCTAAGAGAAGCTCTCAAAAGAATTTTCCCCCTCCTTAAAAAGATATGAGGGATGGGCCATCAATTTTCTAATGCCTCTTTATCTTTCTTTCTTGCAAACATCCAAGCCTCCTCTCACATTTTTTCATGTATCTCTGTGAAAGTTTCCTTTTAATTGCTATGCCCCAATCTCATCCTTTCTCCACAATGTGTCCTCTTACAACCCTTCATAACAATTATCATTTACTGAGCCTGTGTCAAGCACTTCACACATTACTTGGTCTCACAGTATATGGAGGAGGATATGTAGTCTACTTTGCAGAAGAGGAAAACACGGTTCAGAGAGAATAACTTCCTAAAGTTACAAAGCTGAGACAGAACCCTGTTTGATACTCTGTGCCTACCTACTGTGCAACACTGCCTTCTGTCCTCCTCCTGCCTCTGCCCTGTGTAGGACACTTCACACTTCTCACTGCTGAGAGCTCCTCAGACCACTCAGATTACCCAGACACTGTATTCAATAGAACAGATCTTCTGATATTACTACCTGCACTCCCCACCCCAACACATGCTCTAAAACATCCTGCCCCACTCTCTTCGCCATGCTCCTATCGCTATGTCCCCCTTTCCTATAACTCTGGGAGCCTCTTCTGCATCGTTTTCCCCCTCTCTCTTGCTCTCTTCCTTAGGAAACAAAACCAGTGCTTCACCTATGGCCACCAAGACTTGCTGTAATTCCAGTTACTGCTTCATACAGGATCTGTCTCCACACTATACAGGAGCCAGTTCTGCTCCATTCCACAGCAATCCTTGCCAAAGTTGATTTATTCAGCACTCCAGGGCTCAAAGACTTTGGCTGCCTCACCCTTGCCTACCCAGCAAAGTCCCAATTTCTGGGCACCGAGGACAACTGCATTCACTATTCAGAGACCCAGCTTCCCTGAGCAGAAACATCTACCCCCTCCACCCTCTCTCCTACCCTTTCACCATTCGGTTAGATAACCAAACTCTTTTTCCCAACATCTGGGCCCTTGCACCTGCAGCTCCCCCTACGTGAATATCCAGTTCTCCCTCCTGTGCCTGTAACAAACTCCTGTTCGACCAGCTCTGCAAACTAGCCTCATTGAAATACAGGTCCCCTCCCGCAGCACTCTGAACACCTGGGCCCTGGCACTAGGCTCAGGCCTGTGCTGTTGCACATCAGCTTCCCCAGAAGAACCCTCTCTGGCCCTCCGGTCTTGGAAACCGTCCCTTCTGATCTGGATCTAGGGCCCAGCCTGCTTCCCGGCCACCCCGCACTCACCGGGCGCGCCCGGGCGGCCTGTCCCCGCAGCCGGCCAAGGACAGAGCCGGGGTGTGCTCCGCTTGCCAGGACCGCGGCCGCCATGGCCCGGGCCGCCCACCCTCCGGGGCAGCGAGCCGAGTGGGACCGCCCCGGGCCAGGAGGGGCGCGCCAGGCAGCGGGACACCGAGGTCCGAGCCCTGGAGCCGCTAGTCACCACCCAGGACCCCCGGCGCCCCGCGCTCGGGGCCGGCCGGACCTCCCCACTCGGGAGGCGGAGGCCGCGCCCCGGCTGCTCTAGGACGGCGGAGGGCGCCGTGTGCGTCTCTGTGGTCCTCCCTTCCCATCCCGGGAGGGAGGACCGCTGTCCAGTCCTGCTGCAGACAGCGAGTGCCCTGCAGCGCCACCGGCGTGGATGATCGGGAGCAGGCAGCTGGGGAAGAGGGTTCCGCTGGAAATCCTTCTCCCGCGCTGACCACCCCTTCCTCTCTACCCAGCTGCGCCCTGTATGGATGGATGGATGGATGCATGGATGGATGCTGAGAGAAGGTGACACATACCTTATTCCACTGCGCCCCTCCCGGCAGCTGCTCCCCTTCACTGGTTTCTGCTTTCTCCCAACACAGATGATGGACATGGCATTTTCATCTTTGTGCCTCTAACGTCGCTTGGTGTCTACCACCTCTTGGAGCCTTATTTCTTGATGTGCAATTAATAGGTCATTGTTCACCAAAAGAAGCTCTTTTATGGTCTGAGCAGTGATTTGGTTCAAAATCTTTAGAAAACTGAAGAGGAGAGAAATGGGTAATATTTTATATTTACCCATATTTTTACTCTGCTGGTTTTTTTCTGTCAAATACATGGCAGGCAAAGCTAAGATCTGACTGATTTATCCTGTAAAGATACAAAAGGCCATTTTTGGATTCAAACAATGTACTATTAAGATAGCAAAAAAAATAGAGTAACTGAATGTGCCAGCTCCTCCAGGTCCTTGCCCTATGCACTAAAAAGAATGACAGAATGCATTAGTCTGTTTTCAGTACTATTGTGAAATACCAGAGGTGGGCTACTTTATGAAGAAAATATGTTTATTTTTGGCTCATATTTCTGGAAGAACAACTTATTGGCAAAGTCCTGAGGCAGTGCAGAGCATCACATGCCAAAAGACAGGGAGTGTGCATGTCTACTTAGTCTCTTCCTCTTCTTATAAAACCAACAGATTTCAATCACGAGGGCTCCACTCCAAGGACTTTTCCAAATCTAATCACTTTTCAAAGCAGCCACATATAAACATCATAGTCAGATTAAGTTTCCATCCTTTTAATATCTCACAATGGAGGGGCATAAAATTTCAACACATGGGAGATGCTCAGACCATAGTACCAAAACGAAAGGAGGCTAAATGACTATAATGTGAATTGTAAGACATCCCATTGCTGAGGGGACAATTTTAAAGAGTGACCACGATTATGACTCCCAGCAGTTTAGTCAAGTCCACTACAGCCAGGTTCCCCATCTGGAGCCAAGCCAGTTAAATATTTCATTAATCCAGATGAAGCAAGGACACATTGGTCACCTGTGGTGACCATCAGGAATTCCAGAACAGCACAGTTGTCTACTGTCCTACATGCTAGAGAACTGAGAACAATAGGCAGTCTTTGAAAAAGCACACAAAAGAGACCAACAATAACAGAATGAGGACAAGAGAGCTATTTCAGTGTTCAGAGAGTTAATCTTGTTTTATTGTTTCTTGCTGAGGCTGGAGGATTCTGAAAAAAATTAAATTAACATCATTTGTTGGCCAGTGGTCAAGTTGAGACGTGGCAGAAGTCTGGGCTAAACTGGCAAATATCCTGCAGATGACAGCTAAGAAAAATAAATTAATGGTTCCTTCCACTCCCCCTGACTTCCTCGGAGCTAGAATGATCTTTTTTTTTTTTTTTTTTTTGGCAGTGCTGGGGTTTGAATTCAGGGCCTCACGCTTACTAGGCAGGTCCTCTTAATGTTTGAGTTGCTCCACTAGGCCCTTAAGATACGCTCTTTTAACTGGGGTTCATCTTCACCTTTCACAGCCACATTATCAATGTCATCAGTCTCTTTGATAGTGGCTTTACCTTTCGCCCAAACCCTTCTCGTGTCTTACCTCATCATACACTCAGACCCATCCCTAGTTGGCTCAGTAGTTCCTCCTTCTTTTCTTTTCTTTTTTGGTGCTGGAGATTGAACTCAGGCCTGCTAGCACAGTTCTACTACTGAGCTATACCTCCAGCCCTAGTAGTTCCTTTTCTTATATAACTTATAGTATCTGGACTATCTCCACACGCACACCCGACATGCAGGACATGTGGAGCATGTGGAATCATGTCTTCGCATTCATGATCACTACAATCGTTGCCTATATACAGAAAATTTTAGATCTACCAGAATTCATAAACTAACACAGCAAAGTTGCAAGGTACAGAATCCAAACATGAAAAAACAATTGTGTTTCTGTTCATCAGCAATGAAAAAGAGAAAATTAAGAAGCCAATTTTATTTATAATAGCATCTAAAAGAATAACTCTTAGAAATAAACCTAACCAAATTGGACTTGTACATTGCAACTATAAGACACTGCTGAAAGAAATTAAGGAAGAAGCAAATATACAAAAAGATACCTTGTGCTCATGGATAGGAAAACTTAATGTTGTTAAGATGTCAATACTACCCAAAGTGGCCTGCAGATATGATGCAATCTTTATCAAAATTCCAATGCCTTTTTTTACAAACAGGGAAAAGTTGATTCTCAAATTCATTTTGAATTGCAAGGGACTTCTTTGTCTGAGCCTGTTCCTGCTGCTATAAAAATATTCTAGATCAGGTAGTTTACAAATAATAAAATTTACTGCTAACAGTTCTGGAGCCTGAGAAATCCAAGATTAAAATGCAAGCAGAAGTGGTGTGTGTTAAGGACCCATTCTTCATAGACAGCACCTTGCTTCTGTGTCCTCACATGGGAGAAGGAACCAGGGAGCTCCCTTCAACCTATTCTATAATTCCAAGGGTGGGAGCCTTTATAACTTAATCACTTCTTAAGAGGCCTCACCTCTTAACACCACAATGAAGATTAGATGTCAATATGAATTTTGGTGGTGCTGGGGATCAAACCCAGGGCCTTATACATGCTAGGCAAGTGCTTTATTACTGAGCTACAGTCCCAGCCCTCAACATGAATTTAAAAGGAACACATTCAGACTATAGCATCCTGACCCTGGCTCTGCAAAACGCATTCCCATCTCACATACAAAAGACAATCATTCTTATAGCCCCATAAGTCTTAATGAATTCTACCATCAACTCAAAAAGCTAAAGTCTGAGTCTCACGTAAATTAGGTATGGGTGAGACTCAAAGGTGTAATTTATCCTGAAGTAAGTTCTCTTCCAGGCATAAACTTGTGGACTCAAACAAGTCATGTGCTTTGATGGTTTGACAAGCCTAGAATAAACACTACCATTCCAAAAGGTAGAATAGGAAAGAAGTAAAGGATATATATTTCAGGTAAGTCCATACCCAAAAGGGCACACAACACTAAAATTTAAGTCAGGAGAACAATCTTCTTTGCCTCCATATTCCACCTTCTGGATATTTTGGAGTGGGACTCCCATGGCTCCAGGCCACCCCAACCCCACAGCTGGATTCAGCCCATTCCACAGCTTTCTTAAGTTGTTGTTCCCTGCTTGCAGCCTTCCTAGGCTGGATTTGCATGCTAGTGGCTCTGTTAGGTTAGGATCACTGGATGGCCCTGTTCCCATAGCTTCACACCTAATTCATGGTGTCAGCAGGGTGGAGTAGGGAACTGGATCTCCCTTCTAAGTCAGAAGCAGCAGAACCCCACCTCCCCTTTCTCCTCGGAGAGATGAATGAGGACCTGCACTTCCATCCCATTCAGCAGCAAAGTGGCAGAAGTAGGCAATGCAAGTAATGCTGATTGGTGCTTTGGTTTCTCTGTTGGGAAAGAATCAGCAGGTCCCAGTGTTACCAAATGTTCAGCCTCTGCAATCAGTGCCAATTTACAAATAACAAGGGCAGGGTTTTAAAGAAAGGAAAATTAAGGTTTATTAATTTTCCAGATAAAATGAGGAGAGCAGTGAGATAGAGACTCAAAGTCCACCACCTTGCCCCTGAGAGAAAATGTCCAACTTTTAAGGGAATGCTCAAGAGCTCAATTCCAGGGTATGTGATGGAGTGCACACCCAAGACCAGATGGTGGTCATGGTTTGTCTCATCTCTTGGTTTAGTTGCACCACATCTCTGAAGTTGTATGTTTTGTTTGGCAGAGGTTTAGTCCTTGGAAGATACCCCAGTCTGACTGAAAATGTTATCTGAAAATTTATTTTTACCTCTTCCTTTCCAATTCAGATACGCTTTACTTCTTTTCCTTCTGTTTCTGTTTGTTTGTTTCTAACCTAATCCTGTTATGGTTAGAGAAGAAATTTGTAATAGTTATCTTTTTAAATCTATTAAGATTTTTTTCCTGTGGTCTAATATTTGATCTCTCTGGGAGAATGTCCCATGCACATTTTAGAAGACTGTTGTTGAATGACATGTTCTGTACGTTAACTGGTAAGTCAAGTACGCTTACTGTGTTGTTCACATTCTGTTTTCTTACTTATGCTCTGATTGATCTGCACAGTATTAAAAGTGAGGTAAGGAAGTCTCCAACTATTATTGTAAAAACATCTCTCCCTTCAATTCCACCAATTTTTGTTTATGTGTTTTGAGGGCTTGTGACTAGGTATGTAATGTTTATAATTGTCTAACCTTCTTGATGTGTTGCACATTTTTGTTATATATAATGCCCTTGTGTCTTACAACTCGCCTCTTGCAAACTGAAAATATACCTATTAAATATTTATACCTCATTATTCCTGGCCCTGAGCCTCTGGAATCACCATTGTACTTCCTGACTCTGTGAATTTGATTACTCTAGGAATCATTCAGTACTAGTTCTTTTGTGACTTATTTATTTCACATATATTGAAGGTTCATCCATGTTATAGTAAATGTCAAATTCTCCTTCATTTTTAAGGTCAAATTGTAACCAGGACTACAAAAGGAAAAAAAC